CGGATGACTACGGCGCCGGCGCCATCCCGTGCCGCCGCCGCACCGTCGAAGAAAGCACCCAATGCGGCGCGGACGAAGAAGGGCAAAACATCCGCAAAGAAGAACAAGGCAGCGGACGGCTCCGGCATGGCGAGGGGGAAAAAGCTTGCAGGGCGTTCGACGGCCGCGGCGGCTACCGAAGCGCCGGCGAGCTCACTCGTTGAGCCGGCTGCCGACGCGCACCACGTGTTCGACGAAATGCCCCCAAGGTGAAAAAAATTCCAAGTATGTTTTTCTTCTTATTTTTTCAATGCATCATCATTTTACATATAGATAGCTTATTTGCATTGTTCAAAAAAATTGTAGTCTCAACGATGATGCATACATGTCCACTATGGGTGTTGGGTCCAACAATTCGCATTGGTCTCAAACCAATGACATCCATTTCGAAGACCATGAGTTTGAGGTGGACGAGGAGGGTGAGGGAATTGTCGAGGCGCCGAGAGGAAGAGCGGGCAATTACTCCACCACCGATGACAAGTTACTATGCAACACTTATTTGCATGTCTCCAAGGATCCATCCATTGGAGGTGATCAAAGTAGAGACGCGTATTGGGGGCGAATGACAGAACACTATAATGCTCACAACAAGAGTGGAATTTACCGCTCCGAGAGATCACTTCGGTCCCGATGGTCGACAATCAACTCGGATTGTCAAAAGTGGGCGGCTGCGCAAAAGTCGGTGGACAAGATTAATCCAAGTGGCACAAATGAGGATGATCGAGTAAGTGGCATCTCATATATGTTCATCATACTTGTTTTTGGTGACCGAAGTGCTAACTTGTTTTGTTTTTCTTGTAGTTCAACATTGCACAAAACTTGTTCAAAAATGAGACAAGGACAACCAAGAAGGGGAAGATCAAGAAAGGCCGGATCTTTACCTTGCCTCATTGCTATGAAGTGTTAAAGGATGATGAGAAATGGAAGAAGCGTGATGGTTTGGAGGATTTGCATTTGAGCAACAAACGGAAGCGAGCAATTGAGATGAATGATGAGGAGGAGGAGGATGATGCATCAAGTGATGACGGCAAGAGAAGCCCCACACCCAACTCGGTTTCATACTCGAAGCCAAAACGACCGGATGGGTGCAAGAAAGACAAAACCGACAAGAAGAAGAAGAAAGGAGATGATGAGTTCAAAAATGCTATGGAAGCTATTGTGAAGGCAAGGGTCGAAGCGAATGAGGTGAGGAAAATGGCAAGGACCCAAGATGCCGTGGCCGAGGAGAGGAGATTGGCGGCCGAGGAGAGAAGGGTGGCGGCCGAGGAGAGAAAGGTGACTTTGGAGGAGAGGAAAGTGAGCAACGAGGAGCGAGCTAAGTTGTTGGAATGGGAGAAGCACTTGTTCTTCATGGACACATCTAACCTCAATGCGGCGCAAAAGGAGTATGTTAATCTTGCCCAACAAGAAGTCTTGATCCAAAAAAGAGCCTTGGTTCGTGCAATGGGTGGCGATGGCCTCGGCGCCATGGGAGGCATGGGTGGCTTCAGCGCCATGGGAGGCGGTGGCCTCGGCGCCATGGGAGGCATGGGTGGTCTCGGCGCCATGGGAGGCGGTGGCCTCAGCGCCATGGGTGGTGGTGGCCTCGGCGCCATGGGAGGCATTGGTGGCTTTGGAGGCATGGGAGGCATGGGTGCACCTCCGGCCGCCATGGGAGGCATGGGTGGCTTTGGAGCACCTTCCGACGCTATGGCCGCCATGGGAGGCATGGGTGCACCTCCGACCGCCATGGGAGGTATGGGTGGCTTTCGAGCACCCTCCGACGCCATGGCCGCCATGGGAGGCATGAGTTTTGCTTCTCTCATGGGAGGTATGGGTGCACCTCCGGCCGCCATGGCTTCTCACACACATTCCCATGAAGATGCCGTTGAAGATCTTGCCAACACCGTCGGAGCTTCACATGATGCGGTGCGTGATGCGGTGCGTGATGAGGATAGGGAGGAAGGTTCATCTTCGGAGGCGGAAGAGTCGTCTTCGGAAGATGAGGACGAAGACGAAGAAGAGGAAGATGAAGATTGATGTGTCTTCATGTCTTGAACTTTTAGTTTGCATTTGAACTTGGTTGGATGAACTTGTGGGCATGATTTTGATGAACTTGTGGGCGTGAACTTTTATTCATCAACTTGTTTGTGTCAAATTTTTACATGTTCATTTTTGTCCAAAATATCCATATATCCATATATGCAAAATGCCCGGCGCGCGCTGCATTATGGCGCGGCTGCTGGAGCGGCGCGCGCGCGCTGCATTATGGCGCGGCTGCTAGAGCCAGCGCAGGCGGGCGCGCAAAACATGCCGCAGCGCGCGCTAACAGATTTTTTGCGTGCGGCGCTATAGCGCGGCTGTTGGAGATGCTCTTATAAGCAGAGTACCTAGCTAGCTAAGAGAATTGTGCAAACACTTTGATAGTTGCCTCTGTTAATAACCTAAGTATACATTTCATCAGAAATAGAAGTAGAACTAGTGTATTTCGGCGTGGTTACACGGCAAGCTTACCTAGCTGCCGGGTGGCAATGGGCTCCCGCGGCGACGACGAGGAGCAGCCGGCTGCCGTGCCCCTCCTAGCGGCGGCCTACCCAACTCCGAGCGGCCTGAGACGGAGCCACGCCGGCGACGTTCACCTCCTGTCGGCCGCCTTCCTCTTCGTCTTCTCCGCCTACCTCCCCACGCAGAACCTGCAGAGCACACTCAACACCGTACGTACCTGACGTGTTCTGGTAGTACCAACGCTGCGGGTGAATCTTTGGGTCCATGACGTGTTCCGGTAATCCAAGTCTACGTGCGTACCTGTAGGAGGGCAACCTGGGCGCCGTGTCCATGGGGATCCTGTACGCCTCCTTCACCGTGTTCACGGCGACGGCGGCGGCCGTGGTGCGGCGGCTGGGGTCGAGGGGCGCGCTCGTCGTCTGCACCAGCGGCTACGCGCTCTTCATCCTCGCCAACCTCCTCCCAACGTGGTACACGATGGTGCCGGCTTCAGTCTACCTGGGTTTTACTTCATCCCTCATGTGGGTTGGCCAGGTACTTAGTTGACCCCAGGCAGCATAGTACTGCTCTTTAGTCATAAATCATGTGGATTATTTCCAACAGATTAAAATCTTGGAACTTTTGATCATGTTCATGTATACCTTTTGTACATGAAAGAATCAAATTGTTCATGCGTTTTTCATCAAATTTCTTTGTCAATTTTATTTACCAAATTTGGCAAAACAGTTGTTATAGCATTATTTGACTTTTTGGCGTGAAGGAAATACATTTCGGATGTGAATAGGCCCTAGGAAATTTTGCTGACTATGCATCTTTACCTATTTGGTTTCAGGGCACATATCTCACGTCTGCTGCCTTTTTTTTTTGAAACAAGGCAAAAGACTTGCCATTTCATTAATTAAGAAGAAGGTTTAGACATAAGCCGTAAAACGGCAGAAACAAAGGAGAGACTACTCTCGCGACATAAGATTACTCAGGTGGCTCGCTCCAGCCAACGACCAAAGGCGGGCCTCCTCTTTGATTTTCGCGACAATGATAGTGGTCGGGGTGGCCGTGTTGCGGAAGACTCTTGCATTGCGCTCCTTCCAAATTTCCCACGAGACAAGCATCATAACGGAGGCAGTGGCCTTCTTGATGTGGCCTCCAGAGTTGATCGTCTTGAGCCACCAGTCCTGGGCAGAGATCTCCTGACGCCAAGCCGTCGTCGATTGGCCATGAATGCCAAGCCAAGCGATGATATCGTTCCAAACTCGGGAATTATATCTGCACTGGAAGAGAATGTGAGGAGCTGACTCCTGAACCTGCTTGCAAAGGGGGCAGAGGCCACAATTCAGCCATCCCCGCCGTTGCAACCGATCAGCCGTCCACACACGATTTTGGATGATCAACCAAGAAAAAAATTTGCATTTTGGCGGAGCCCAAGTCTTCCATATCGTGGTAGAGGTCGGGCTGAGAACTTGTCCTGCAAACTGCGCCATGTAAGCAGTGGCCGCCGAATATTCATTGGTGGAGGTGAATTTCCAATGTATGGTGTCCTCTCTATCCAGGCTGAGAGTAACATCCTGAAGCATTCCCCAAAGGTTGGTGAACTCCTGGATATGGGCCAAAGAGAGGCCCTGAGAAGCGTCGATCTGACTGACCCAGAAGTGGTTATGAAGCGCTTTGCTGACCGAACACGCCTTCCTTTTAGATATCTCAAAGATCTTGGGCGCGACGTCTTTTGGTCTGAGACCATTAAGCCACGACGATTCCCAGAATTTTGCCTTTTTACCATCACCAATGGTCACACTCGTGAACGTCGCAAAGAGATCTCTGTCAGCATTGCTACAGGGTGTCTCCATTCCGGCCCAAGTTTTGGGGGGGTCAGCCCACTCGAACCAAAGCCAGCGGAGTCGAAGGGTGGTGGCAAAATTTTGAAGGTTTAGCACACCCAGGCCACCGAAAATCTTGGGTTTGCAAACAAGGTTCCAGTTAACCTTACATTTGCCTCCAGACACCTTATCGCAGCCTGCCCATAGATAGGCACGTCTCAGGCTATCGATTTTCTTCCGCACCTCGACCGGGATATCAAGGGGTGTTAGATGGTAGATTGCTATGGCCGTGAGAACCACTTTTACCAAAATGATGCGTCCAGGGGCCGCCACGTGCATGGCCGACCAAGGTGGAAGCTTGCCCGCAATCTTGTCCTCGAGGTATTGGAAATGGATGCGTTTTAGCCTCGTGACCGACAGAGGAAGACCAAGGTACCGCATAGGGAAAGAGGTCCGGACGGCAGGGAAAGCCTGGAGGATGCCATCGAGGTCGAGGTTGGCACACCGAATGGGCGCAACCAAACTTTTGTTGCAATTGGTAACAAGTCCGGTGACCTCACCAAATGAGCTCAGCGTCGAGGCTAGAAACTGGATGTCCTCTTTGATAGGTGCAACGAAGATGGCAGCATCATCGGCATACAGGGATGCCCGAATCGGATTTCCACGCAGTGGGTGGAGGTTGCCTTGTTCAGTGGCCTTTGCGAGAATGCGGTGGAGAGGGTCGATGGCGAGGACAAAGAGCAAGGGGGATAGAGGATCTCCCTACCAAAGCCCACGACCATGCTTGATAGGATCACCCGCGATACCATTAAGGAGCACCCTGGAAGAGGCCGTGGAAAGAAGCGCTGAAATCCAGTCACAGAAATGACTTGGGAAATGATTGTGCCGTAATAAGTCCATGAGGTAGTCCCATCGGACCGAATCGAAGGCTTTTTTGATGTCAAGCTTGAATAACAGGGTCGGAGATTTGGTACGGTGAAATCGACGGGCCAAGCTGCGGACATACATGAAGTTATCATGAATACTTCTTTTCTTAATAAAAGCACTCTGCGTGTTGGAAACCAGCTCGGGCATGTGAGGGGCCAATCGAGTGGCCATCATTTTCGCGATAATCTTAGCAACTGCATGAATCAAACTTATTGGTCGGAAGTCAGAGATGTCCTCCGCTCCATCCTTTTTAGGGATGAGGGCAATGTTGGCTGAGTTGAGCCAGTGAAGATTGTTGACTTGGAGATTGGAGAAACTGTTGACAACAAGCATGATCTCAGGTTTAATGATGTCCCAACATTCCTTGAAGAAGACTCCCGTGAAACCGTCACGGCCCGGAGCTTTGTCCCCTGGAAGTTCGTTGATCGCAGCCCGGACCTCCTCCTCGGTGAAAAGGGCACCCAGGTCAGAGAGGTCACAAGTCGACGGCGGGATGCAGCCCCAATTGAAGTCCTTGGAGCGCGGGAGGCCCTTCCCAATGGCTTTTGAAAAGTGGCTCTGGATAATGTCCTTCTTGTGATCATGACTGGTGACCCAACCGTTGTTGTGCTTAAGGCGGTGGATAAAGTTTTTCCTTCGTCGATGGTTGATACGGATGTGAAAGAAATGGGTATTCGCATCCCCCTCTTTGAGAAGCTTAACTCTCGAACATTGTCTTTTCCTGGCTCGCTCAAGAACCGCCAAGGCCACCACCTTCTTTTTGAGGTCCTTCCTCAGATTCCATTCAGCCAAGCTGAGTGTCCTGGACTCTTGAGCCACGTCGAGGCGGAGGATGATCTCGAGGGCCATGTGGAGCTGCACTTTGTGATTCGAGAAGATGGATTTGCTCCAACGCCTGAGGCACTGGCCTGTTCTTTTCAGCTTGTGAAAGAGCACTTGATAGGGCTCGGAGTGGCTTGTGCCCTTGCTCCAAGCATCTTGGACAATTCTCTTGAAGTTGGGCAACTTCGTCCAGAAATTTTCAAAATGGAAGGTCTTGGGTCGTCTTGGTCCCTTGTCACTAGCCAAAAGCAGCGGGCAGTGATCAGAGAGCGAGGATGAGAGAGCATGAAGGATGTGAGATCCAAATTCTACATCCCAGTCGTCATTGTAGAAGAAGGAATCTAACTTGCTCATGGTCGGGTTAGCTTGCTCATTGCTCCAAGTGAACTTTCTGTTCTGTAGGTGGATCTCCTTTAGCTCACAGGAGTTGAGAGCATTTCGGAAGCGCACAAGACGAGAGCGGTCTACGTTTGTGCGGTTTTTGTCTCTTGCACGGTAGATTTGATTGAAATCACCCGTAACCAGCCATCGTGTACCCTGTTGTGGTTTGAGGCTAACGAGTTCTTGGAAAAAAGCATCTTTAAGGTTGCTTCTAGTAGGACCATAAACCGAAGTGAATTTGAAAGAAACAAGGGTGCTGACAATAGTGATGTTAGCAGAGATGCTGAAGGTGCCCAAGAAAATATTATCCACCTTAATGAAGTCTTCGTTCCAGAGAAGGAGGATACCTCCTCTGGTTCCATCCGCTGGCCGCTCAGCATAGCTTTTGAGTCGTTGGCCACCCAAAAAAGCAGCCAAGAAAGGATCAACCGCTGCCAGCTTCGTTTCCTGAAGGCAAACAAGGTTGCAAGAAGTAGCAGTGATTGTCTCATGAACGGTAGTGCGACGATTCGGACAGTTAAGACCACGAACATTCCAATTTAGGATGGAAAGGTTTTCATTCATTGGAAGACCAGGCTACATCAGAGGTAACATAGAGCAGAAACAAGAGCCTTGCCAGGGCTACAGCAGGTGGTAGCTGAAGTACAGAGCTACAAACAGGCCTATCTAGAGCATCGACAAGTGGTGAACTAATCATAGAAACTGGGGTACATCAGTAGCTAAACATAGCAGCAGCATCAGGTCGACGTCGCGTCCTCTCTGCCTTGGCCTTGAAGATCCAGCCCAGCTCCTCCTCTGTGATCAAGCAAAGCATCTTCCACCGCAGTGGCGAGGTCACAGTCAAGCCTGAAGAGCGCCCGAAGTGCCGCAATAGCCAAGTCAGGGAGCTGTCCATGAAAGAGGGCCACATATTTGGCAATGGCAGCCTCAGTAACCATCTCCGCCTCATCCACCACACCCAAGTGTTGGCAGAGAAGCCTTTCCGCCATCAAAGCAATCGACATGTCTCTGTTCTTCGCTTGTAGCCTTGGACTGCTTCGGATCAGGTTTAGTCCTGTGGCACCAGCCAGGGTCTTCCTCCGTGCAGTCGGCGGCCTTGGCGGGGTGGAGTTGGGCGTCGGGAGGGTGCCACTTGGACAAGGTACGAACAAGGGAGTGCTCATAGAGCCACTCTGAGCCGGTGCCACAGTCCGTGGGCTCTCCACTGCTTGGTCTTCATCATCCCCAACAGCAGCAGCATGAACATGGATAGGAGTGGCTGGACTTGGGGGCACCGAACCCGATCGCAGCCCCAGACGAGCAGGGGAGGCCCAGCCTGGTGGCGCATCAGGTGTCACAGGCGAGCCCAAGCACAGGGCTGCGCCACACAGCCAGGCAGGGAGCTTCGAGGAAGGTCGCAGCTCGATCACATCGCGGGAGGTCGTGCGTGGGGATGGTGGTGGTGATCTACCCCTGGTGTCTTCAGTGCGCCGGATGCAGATAGCTTCGCAAGAGCGGGAACACCGCTCTGGACACGTCGCGCGGTGCCAAGCCCTTCTACCAGAAGCGGGGATCACTGCTCCGTCAGGAAGGCGCTGAACCTTGGCGTGGTCGATCTTCCGGGCGTCCGGCAGGTCCCGCCGACGACCATCATCATAGCGGCCGCGGGAGTCGCGGTCATCTCGTCGCCGATCGTCGCGCGAGCCGCCTGCCCGCTCGTCCTCACGGCGAGGAGCCCTGGAGCGGCTCCGAAAGAAGCCACACCAAGAGGAAGCCTTGCGGTCTTCACGCCTGCCACGCCCATCGTGGTCACCATCTCTGTCGCGGTCGTCATCATGTCGATCTCGGTCGTCGCGGTCCCGGCGTCGCTCACCCGCCACCTGGCGGTCACGAGGGCGGGCCTCGCCGTCCACGACGCCATAGCACCAGCTGAAGGGGGGGGGTGCGAGCGAGGGCGTCGAGGGATGCGGCCATCCGAGTCTGGGAGGTAATCTTCAATCAGGTCCAGGTGGGCCAGGACACGCCGACGCAGCCCTTGGCGACCGACAGCGGGGACGGGGGCGCTGCCCGCCGGCGGCTGGTTGCAGGTGAAGGTGGCGTTTAGGACATTGGGAATTTTGCTGGGATCCGCCGACCAAGCCCACAGATTGAGCGTGGCCGCATCTTCGCACTGTACAGAGGCGATGTCGAAGTAGTGCAGAAAGGTGTTCGGCCCAAGCACTTGGGCCGCTACGGCGTCATTCCAAGCATTGAGCGGGACATTTTCGAGGCAGAGGTGGACGTGGTAGTCTGCTTGAACGGCGTCAGCGTGCGCATTGAGTCTCCACTTGGCGATGTGGATGTCGAGGTTGCCAAAGTCGGAACTGAAGTGGGAGAACCGGCCTGGGGCAGCCGTCGCCAAGTCGCGGTGGTGCTGGTAGTCGAACCTGACGAGGAAGTCTTCAGGATAGAATGGCACCACTTTCAGCAGCGAACGGTCGACCCCCGCGGCCAAGGCCACGGCGTCTCTGATGACGGAGGCGCTGGCAGCAGGGCGGTTGCCACCAAGCCACACCATCGCCGCGAGGTTGGCGAGGCTTGCCGCATGGGCATCCATCGCCGGCGTGGAGACGATGACCACATCGCCTTCAGCCGGGCGCAACGAGGGGTCACCCACGCGCGGCATACCCGACCCAGACAGCGTAGGGGCGACGAGCTGCAAGTCTGAAGTGGCCGGGTCTTGGTGAGGAGGCTGATCAGGCGGGTTGACCAGAGGAAGTGGCGTAGTCCTTGAACAGGGCTGTGGGGTTGGAGGAGGGGAACTGGAGCACTGGCGCGCCCGGTGTCCGCTTCTTCGGCAAATCAGGCATTTATACGGATCCCGGCAGTCGATCTTGTTGTGGCCCTTCTCCAGGCATCTGTGGCAAACTCTGTGGCGATGCTTAACAAAGGATCTGTCGGTAGATGGGGAAAATGAAGACGAAGATAGACGGCTTGAATGCTGGTTGTTGGGGGAGAGAGCATGCCACCAGTACGGTGCTTTAACGATCTGCCAGCCTTCCTCCGGGTTGGAATCCATCTTCAACGGCGCGCATGAAGGCGCCTGCTGCAGTACTGGGCTCGAGGGAGCCGGAGACCGCGGCACGTCCAGGGGGGCATTGAAGGCCAGGGACGACGCCTTCTTGAGGCATGGCTTTGGGATGCCATGAATGCGCTGCAGAGGGGGTGGGCAGGGCAGATCTTCACCCAGAGCAAAGCGGACCTTGGAGACCTGACCTGACGCCGAGGCAGCAGTAACTGCGGGCGGATCTTCCGGGAGGGAGCCTGGAGCGGTCCAAGACCACGGCGGGGAGGCTGGATCTGGACCAGCTGAAAGCAGCTGCGAGAACAACGCAGGCACGAGGGACTGGCTTGCAAAACTTGGGGTGGGGAAGCTCGGGGGAAGCGGGGCGAGGCGGATGGGGGGCTCAGCCGGGGAGGGAGCTGGGAAGCGGCAGCAGAGGCGAAGCCGGTGGCTGCGGGCGCCGGAGCAGCGCGCCGCAGGAGCGTGGGCGTGGGGAGTACCATCTCGACAACGCTCAGTCAAAGTCCTCTCAAATAGCTAGTGTGTCTGCTGCCTTCAGCCATGCGACAGAGAACAAGCTTCACTTGGGCCAAGTTTTGGGTCGATTCAACGGAGAATTCTGGGGAATGTTTGCAAGCACGCAGGTACGTATGTGTATATTATATAAGTTCGCTACCTAGAGCGCTAGCTTGGCAGAGAAATTTTGGTTCAAATGTATCATGTATATGTACTAAATTTCATTATATTTTGCAGGTCATTGGAAATTTGATCTCGCTCGTCGTGCTGGGGAATGACAAGGTATATAATTATAGCACCTTAAATTAAGTTCTTCATTCGCTACGTATATCCCTGTGTGATTTCCGACTAGTTTCATGAACCGACGATCTTCTGAAACCACTTCAGGATGGAGGAGGTGCCAACAAGAACCTCTTGTTCACTGTATTCCTCGGCTGCATGGTCGTCGGCATCGTGCCCATGTGCCTGCTCTCCAGAAGAGATAAGAGCAGAGGAGAATCAGACGGCCATGAACCCCAAGGGCGTTCCTTTCTCGCTGACACGTCGACGTCTGCCGTCACGCCGCTCGCTGACCCGAGGATGCTCCTCCTCGCTCCTCTCCTCGCCTACTACGGCCTGCAAAAGGCATTTGTATGGTGAGCATCTCGTTTGGTTTTCTACTTGTATGGGCGGGTATGATCAGATCAAGCACAATATGTTATGAACAATGTTTGGTTTGGATTGTGTAACCAGGGCTGTGTTCACCAAGAGTGTCGTGACCCCCGTTCTCGGGGTCGCCGGAGTCGGCGGGGCGATGGCAGTCTACGGCGCGGCCGGTGTCGTCGTAAGCGCCAAACAACCACCAATCCGATATATCTCCATTGATAATATACCATGCTTTTTCGAGGTGTTGAGCTAACCTTGAGAGGTTTCTTCCCACTGGATTACAGAGCTCGCTGGTCGCCGGCCGTCTGACCTCCGGCCTCCGTTCGTCCACCTTCATTGTGTCAACCGGAGCTGTTCTCCAGGCCGGGGTGCTGCTCTGGCTGCTCTTTTTCTACAGGTTAACTGTTTACACCAGAGATTTTTAATTGTTTCTTTCAGATGCATATAAGTTGTCAACTGTCATTGCTGTGGTCATAATGTACATGCATGTTCCTGGAATCTGGTTACAGTCCCATGCTCGGGTCAGCAGCTCCGCTGGTCGTCGGCGACGTATGGGGCGTCGGAGATGGGATTCTGAACACGCAGTTGAGTGCGTTGATCGGGCTTCTCTTCGAGAACGACAAGGTACATATGTTCAGCTTGTGTCAGTGATCCATTTTCTTTCTCTGACGAAGCTGAAAAGTAGTACTAATAGTAATATGTAATGCGTGCGTGCGTCTAGGAGTCGGCGTTCGCGAGCCGGGCTCCTCCGAGAGCACAGGGAAGAGAGCAGAAAGACTTTGCCATTCTTCCAACTCTTTAGGAGACAGGGCCCGACGAAAAGCCAAATCATAATTATTAACAGCCACCTCCGCGATGGAGATTTGCGGATTGGGGCAATAAGAGAACAGAACCGGAAAGCTAACAGCCAGGGGAGCATCCCCATACCACCAATCTAACCAAAAACGAACAGCGGACCCATTACCCACACAAAACTTAACGTGCTCCAGAAAAATCGGCCGAACTTTAACAAGGGCTTTCCAAAACTGCGAACCACGCCGCGCGGGGGCAAACATAGGGTTGGAGTTAGGATAATATTTAGCCTTAAGAATCAAAGACCACAGCACATCGGCCCCAACCGACATAATTTTTCACCACCACTTAACGAGCAGACAAATATTCATCACCCGAGTATTAATGATCGCCGCACCAAAGCCTTCCTTGAAAATCAGATCCTGGAGCTGGACCGTACTGCTGACTCTATTGGGCTCTCTGAGGATGGTTGGGCTGTTCGCTATAATCTGGAGGCTGCTCTTCTACAGCTGCACCATCAGGCTGAGATTTATTGGCGCCAGAGGGGTACTCTTAATTAGACTCTCGAAGGGGACGCTCCTACTGCTTACTTCTTTGCGATCGCAAACGGTAGGCGTAGGCGTTGTGAGATTAATAGCCTGTTGATTAATGGTATGCGCTCTTCAGATCAATCCGTGATTATGGCTCACGTTGTGGACTTCTTTTCGTCTCTGTTAGGGGCTAAACCTACATCGGGCCTGTCCATCTCCCCCCACCTCTAGAGTTCTGGTCTTAAAATTTCTCCTGAGGAGAATGCTTCCTTGATGATTCCGCTCTCCGATCAGGAAATCTGGGATGTGGTTAATTCTGCCAATCTTAATGCTGCTTCTGGGCCTGATGGCTTCTCCATTCCTTTCTTTCGGAATTTTTGGCCCCAGTTGAAACAGTTGGTGTGTAACGTTATTCAGGGTTTTTGTCTTGGTACTGTCGGCATCTCTCGCCTGAACTATGCTGTTATTTCCCTGATCCCTAAGGTAAAGGGTGCTGATGTCATTTCCTAATTCCGGCCTATAGCGTTGATTAACAACTTTGCCAAGTTCCCTTCCAAAGGCTTTGCGAACCGGTTGTCTCCAGTAGCTCACAGAGTTATTAGTCCCTTCCAGTCTGCTTTTATCAAAGGGCGTTCTATTTTAGATGGTATTCTCTCCCTTCATGAGATTGTTCATGACCTTCATGTGCGGAAATCCAAAGCCATTATCCTCAAACTAGACTTCGAAAAAGCGTATGACTCGGTTAGCTGGCCTTTTCTCAGGCAGATTCTTCTTGCCAAAGGGTTCGACGGTGCCTATGTTCACCGTATCATGCAGTTGGTCTCGGGTGGCCACACTGCAGTTGCCGTAAATGGTGCTATTAGCAACTTATTTGCGAATGGGAGGGGCCTCCGCCAAGGGGATCCGGCCTCCCCTGTTCTTTTCAACTTTGTGGCTGACGCCTTCTCCTGTATGCTCTCCAAAGCGGCTCGATGTGGTCATATTATCCCTGTGGTCTCTCACCTACTTCCGGAAGGGGTCTCTCATCTGCAATATGCGGATGACACAATCATCCTGGTAGAGTTGGACAATGCCTGTATTGCCAATCTAAAATTTATTCTGTTGTGTTTCGAAGCTGTTTCTGGTCTTAAGATCAATTTCGCCAAGAGTGAGGTTATGGTGACGGGGGTTGACTGGGCGGAGGCCTTGCGGGTGGCCAGGCTCCTCAACTGCTCCTTAGGTTCCTTTCCTTTCAAATATTTAGGTCTTCCTATCTCTCCTGGTCTGCTTCACGCGAAAGACTTCGCTCCAGTGGTTGCTAAAGTGGGGAATAGGGTGCTTCCTTGGAGGGGTAGGTATAATACCAATGCTGGCAAAGTGGCTCTAATCAATTCTTGCTTATCCTCTCTCCCGATGTTCCTTATGGGCTTTTATCGTCTCACGGATGGAGTGCATGCTGGCTTCGACAAACATAGGGGTGGCTTTTATTGGAATTCTGCTGATAACAAAAGAAAGTATAGGTTGGTCAAATGGCAGCTTATGTGCAAGCCTAAAAATCTTGGGGGGTTAGGCATCATTAATACTCGGGTGATGAATATTTGTCTGCTCGTTAAGTGGTGGTGGAAAATTATGACGGTTGGGGCCGATGTGCTGTGGTCTTCGATTCTTAAGGCTAAATATTATCCTAACTCCAACCCTATGTTTGCCCCCGCGCGGCGTGGTTCGCAGTTTTGGAAAGCCCTTGTTAAAGTTCGGCCGATTTTTCTGGAGCACGTTAAGTTTTGTGTGGGTAATGGGTCCGTTGTTCGTTTTTGGTTAGATTGGTGGTCTGGGGATGCTCCCCTGGCTGTTAGCTTTCCGGTTCTGTTCTCTTATTGCCCCAATCCGCAAATCTCCATCGCAGAGGTGGCTGCTAATAATTGGGATTTGGCTTTTCGTCGGGCCCTGTCTCCTGAAGAGTTGGAAGAATGGCAAAGTCTTTCTGCCCTCTTCCCTGTGCTCTCGGAGGAGGCCGACTCTGTGGTTTGGCCGCATTCGGCCTCTGGTATATTCTCGGTCAAATCGCTGTACTCTAGACTGATTGGTGGTACTACTTCGGCTAGATTCTCTTGTGTTTGGAAATCTAAGGTCCCTCCTAAGATTAAGATTTTCCTCTGGCAAGCCTTTCGTGGTCGCCTCCCTTCTGCTGATCAGATCAAAAAACGCAATGGGCCGGGCTCGGAATTCTGCAACTTGTGTGGGGCTTTGGAAAACTCTAATCACATCTATTTCAACTGTGTTCTTGCCAAATTAGTTTGGGCTTGCGTGAGATCCTGGCTTCGGGTCTCCTGGAATCCCTCCTCTTTCTCAGATATTAGAACCCTAGCCAAATCTCTGGTAGGGGTCACCAAGAGGGTATTCTGGGTTGGCTTGGGAGCCTTATGTTGGGCACTATGGACCATTAGAAACAAATTTACTATTGAGCTTACCTTCCCATCGAAGCCTGCTGATGTTCTTTTCAAATCATGTATATTCTTGCAGCAGTGGAGATTATTGACTAAGGAGCCAGATCGGGACGCCCTGGACCTGCTCATCGCCAAAATTCGGGCTTCAGCCTCTCAGATCTCCGGGACGAATCAGGGCGTATAATTTTGGTGCTGTAGTTTGCGGGATTAGGTCTCCTTCTCTTCCCTGCCTGCGTGCCGTGTTTGGCAGCTGCCTGTATCGTTAGTACTTTGGGTCTATTTACCTTTCTTTGTGGCTCTGTGATTGTGTGAACCTTGGGTATCCGCGACGCTGCCGTATGGCTTTATCTATAAAGTCGGGCCTTGGCCTTTTCTCTAAAAAAAGATGTGGCAGGCGGCGGCGACGGCAGCGGTCTTCTTCCTGAGCCCCGGCGCCACGCTGCAGGGCATGCTCGCTGCGCTGGCCGCCGCGCTGGTCGTCGCCGTCGCGGCTTTCCTGTTCCTCTCGCTCGTCATCGAGAGATTGCACGCGCTGAAATTCTGACGCATGCACGGCTCCGCGGCTTTGTGATTATCATAGGCGTTGAGGAGACAAACAGATAGAGATGTAAGGAGAATGTGTAGTTTTTGGAAAAGAAAGGTTTTTTTCTTTTGACCTTTTTCGACAAAGAGTAATCTTTTATTAGCTCAAAATGGAGCATCGAAAAGATACAAACTATGGTGAACACAGTCAACATCAAACGTACACACACAAAAACAGGTCAGCAAATAGCAAAATCATATAAGATAGAAGCTAAGAAAATAAACACCCAAAGCAATCAGATCCGCGATCAGTAAATTGTAACAATGATCATATCCGCATCAATTATCTCATGACACCATACAGACGACAAGATTCTTCAATAGCAACACCTTCAGGAAGGGAATGACGCTCAAGCGTCGTCGTCACCGGATCCAACCTCCCATGCTTAGAATCTAGATTTCCGCCCTGAAGAACCAGTCCGAGCATATCTGAGCAATGCCTTCAAAAAGGACATGATATAAAAATATCTTCATTGCTAGATGTAAGTGCATCTAGTGCCCCTTAATGGTTTCGGTGTATTGAAGACTTATAGATTAAGAGACTAATATATTTGTGAGTGTACACAGGCTCTATAAGACAATGATGAGTTTGATATTTACAGTGAAAGTCGACCCCTGAAAATGAATGTCTTCGGCTGAAGACTTTGAAAGTGAAGAAATTGGTGTGACCTTGAAGACTTCGATATTCATGCGAGGAATCTGAACGTGAAATCTTTTGTTTTTGTAGTTTCATTTTCTCTTTCTTGAGTCATAGGAAACACCATACTGTTAAAGGGGGTCGAGGTAATACTAAGGAAACCGATTTCCAAGTGATGCTCATCTCAAAATCCTTCACCTACCCAATCCTTCGAGTGAAGCCATTGGAAATCTCATATCAGTTCAGTCAATTTCTTCAGTGACAGAGACGAAGATCTTCTGGTCTATGAGGAATTTGTTCTGACTGAGGAGTTAGGAATTCGCCAGTGCGGATTGCCTACACAGTGAGGTACATGATAGCCCTGAGGAATTTGAACCTCAAAATATCCGACCGTTGCTGTGCCACGCGCCAGCTATTCCAAAATATCCTACCACCTAACGGTCATATCTGCCAAGGGCATTTATGTCTTATCATGTCGGGCTGCTTCCTAGGCTATAAATAGCCGCCCCCTACAACCAGTAGTTGGTTGGCTGCTCTGAGAGAAACTGACACTTGTCATTTGAGAGCATCCCATTCTCCGAGGACTTTGAGCGAAAATCATCAAGTGAGGAAAACCCAAATCCCAACCCCAAACCTACAAACCCCAAAGTGATTGAGCATCACTGAAGAGATTGTTCCTGTGTGGAACCGACGCTTGTTACCTTTGAGGACTGTGTATCCTCCACACGGTTAGGCGTCATTGTCTAAGCATCCAAGAGGAATTATGGATTGCCGAGTGACCAAGTCTGTGAAGTTTTGAAACTCACCTATGAAGACTTGCCACTACTGTTGGGCGAGGTCTGTGTGATCTTAGGTCAAGGAGAATACGGTGAGGACTGTGTGTCCAGGACTATGTGTCCTCGAGTTTAAATACTCAGCCGCTCTAACCAGACGTACAACTGTCACAGCAGTTGGAACTGGTCTACCAAATCATTGTCTTCGCCAAGCCAACCGATTTTATTTCCTCAACCCTTTCATTTCCTCATTATGTGTTGATGTACCTGATCATTACTGCTTGAAGACATTGACTGAAGATTTTCTCTATTTCCTCAATCCTATTTCTTCATTCTGTTTGTCTTCATCCTGCTTATCCCGTGTTTACGCTTTCTGTACTCTGTGTTTGTCTTTCATTTCATCATGATGACTATGTTGTTGCTCTATTATGCTTATACCTAAGTACTTGTTCCGCTGCGAGTAATTCTTCGCTTAGGAATTTCCTCACCCTGAAATTCCTCAGTGAAGAATTCATAAAAATCACCTATTCACCCCCCCCCTCTAGTCGACGTAACGCACTTTCACCAGATATAACCAACTCTTTTCAGACCTAGGCTTTCACCGCGAAGTTCGAGATCAGGTGCTCAAGTAGTACCACCTTCGATGTCACGCATGTGTTGATCCCAACAGCAACATGCGATATGTGTTCGCCGCTGCTGCACAACCAGCCCTCTGCGTCAAGCCGTCATTCTAGTTTACATCTCCCCACTAAAGTCAACCACGAAATCTGGAAGGAAAAACCCTCACTGAGATCTTTCGGTGGCCACCGCAGTTAGGCCCACCACTACGTCTGCTGATTGGAAGCTGCACATAGGCCTGCCTGCCGCATCCGGCAAAACCTCCTCCGCTGCCTCTCGATGTGTGACCATTGTGATCATCGCCGTGATCAAATCCAAGATGTCACCCCACTGGCATCCACAGCGAGTGCCTTTCCCAGCGGCAGACGGGCAGGGGGTGCATCAAGGAGAGGGTGCTGGAGGCGTTGGCATGAAATTCAGATGAGCCGGGCGGGATTCAGCAGTCGGAGAGCTCATCGGTCAACTACGTGAGGCAGCCCACGGTTGCAGTTGGAGGAGCACCGATCATGACATCACAACTGTGCACCCGATGGGAGCAAGATCCACGTGGATCCAGCCGGTACTATATCCATTGATGTAGAAGCACGGTTGTCTCTCACTGCTGGAGCGGGAATCAATCACAAAGGGCTTCTACATCAACCTTGCCACCATATCCATTGCCCAAAATTCTGGAGCATGTCCCTCATTGTCGGACCCTTGAGGTTGATGTGGAGGACAAGCCATGGCTCCCTTGGCCTTCCCTTGTCGAGAGACGCATTGGGGAGATCACGGTGCTTGGATCTGAGGGAAAGGGAGGGAGTAGGTCACGCATGAAGGAATTCCACCGCTGCTGGCTACCGGCGGGCTTTTCCCGGCGTCAAGTGCCGATAGCGGCGAGGGCCGTTGGCAGAGATTGTAGCACCAACGTCGGGGAGATGAGACTCCCGTCCGTGTCGCCTCTGGGAGACCGCACGGGCGCAGTAATGATTTTTCTTTTGACCTATTTTTTTTGCGAAAAGGATCAGATCTATTATAAAAATTCACCAAAGTATAAAGCATCTCAGACATAATAAAAATTGCATTGAGATTCTAAGACCACCGAATGACCACTACTGCCGCAAAAACAAGCCGCTGACGTGCCGTTGTCGCTGCTCCTCTATCGGAGCTGGCTTGACCTTGTCAATGAAAAACGAGAAGTCTCCGTGCATATGCCCTGGAGCTGCAGTTGTCATCGTTGAAACCTATATAGATCTGAAGCACCTACATGAAATCTCGCCAAATGACGAGAAGCCCTAACCTCACTTTCTCAAGGAGATGACGGGAATCTACGCCGGAGCTCCATCGATTACGTCCAGACGGACGAACTCGAGGAGGATCGAAACCCGGAAGACAAACTCAAGGAAGAAGCGCCGCCATCTACACGAGCGCCGCACCTGCAGGACTAAAAAACCCTAACCTAAACTACTAGCCGGAGAAAAGGCACCGGGATTCCCCTCCCGCCACCGGCCATTGAAGCGGCAGGCAGAGGGAAGGCAAATTCACGGGCTCACCGGTGAAGTCTGAAGGGGAGAGATTGCCCTAACCGCCTAGGGTTAGGGAAGAAAAATTTGAGGAAGTTCGACCTAGGGTTAGGACCCCCTAGAGACTTGACCTATAAATTAAGCAAGTCTGCAAATGCACTAAGTCCACAAAAAAGTATTCCCTATGTTTCATATTAGATTTTTCTTAAGATAAAATTAATCAAGTTTATATTAAATATAACATCTACAATATCAAATACAATATGAAAATATATTTCGTTGTGAATGTAATAGTATTGAATAGGTATATCTTATGTGATGACTTAAGACAGCCTAATACGCGGAGTACAATATTATGATGTTCAACTTAAAATAGAAATACGACAATGGCATATGTGAAACATCAACAACAAGATGATCATGTCCAAGTGCTTGCACCTTCTTTTAAACGAAAACCATGGGCACGTCCGGATTCGATTAAGCATGAAATCAAAAATCAATTCATATATGGCATTTCAGTTCCAGCAAGAGAACCAAGTATACTAAACAGGTTGGTTGGAGGTAGCAAAAAGGTGAGAAAGAAAACAAAGAACCATGTACATAAAGAAAAGAACTCAGGAGACGCCGGGAGGGCTCACCATCACCACCTCCGAGCGTGACGCTTTCTTGTCCTTATTTTTAAAACAAATGACAAAAGCTTTGCCATATTTCATTGATTAAGAAGAGAGTAAAGTAATATGTACAAATGGTGGTCAACAAAAAT